CTCTGCAGTTTCAGATTGTGCACTATTTCAGTGTAGTGCATTAATGCTACTCTGTTTCCAATTAATAAAATATGAAACACACTATTTTTAAGGTTGTATACTTTTAGAGTACTTGCTTAATGAAAGCAACAGTGTGTTGAAGATAGCCTAACAAGATGAGTGCTACCCTTAGTTTTTTTCCCAGACTGTAACAATTTTTTTTGTAAATTCCACAAAAACACCTGAAGGGAAAACTTTCTCCTTGTTGATTTTTTGGGCTGTCCATTATAGTGCTTGGCATAAAGTTCCCACCTTCTGGATGTGTGCTAGGAGACAGCAGTTCCAGTACTGTAGTTTGGTTTTATGTCAGCAAGATTTCATTTTGGCACTGCCTCCTTTCTGACAATCTCAGCCCGAGCAAGAAACTCTTTTTGTAATGATGTCCTTGACATTGTAAGGAATGTATTACCTCCACATTTAGCATCTCACCTCACAGCCTGCCATTATCTTTCCAAATGAAGTGTCTGAAACCAAAGGCTCCCTGTGGATCTATCAGGCACTGCCAGACCCTTCTTTGTACACTATCAAATACTGTGCATGCATAAGCTGAAAAAGAGTACCTAAAAACAATTTCTCATTCTTTTACTTCTGAGGAGATTTAGAAGGAAACATATTTTGATTAGCAGTTAAAGAGAGGTCTATCAGCTATCTTTTCCTCAAAGTAAGAGGTTCTTGCTGGCATCATATGCCAACATTCTCCAAATTGTCCCAGTGTTACATTAAGGCAAAGCACATCAGTTCTCAACTTCATATCAACTTCAACTCAATTTCATAGTTATAAATGCAGGGTTGGTGTCGTTCACCAGACCTCGGGGGTCGGTTCAACTTCACGTCGGGGTCACCAGATGTCGTTCACCAGACCTCGGGGGTCGGTTCAACTTCACGTCGGGGTCACCAGATGTCGTTCCGATTGGGAACGGCTATAAAGAACGACATGAACTCTCAAGGGAGTTTCAACACGAGAATTCTCTAGTTTATTGCTCTAGGCTTGCTTTTTATAGACTGGTACGTGGAAGGTACAGAAAGGAAACTCCTATTGGTTAACAAAGTGCTACATTACCATCATTGGTCAGGGGGGCCCATCACCCCCCTGGCTTTCTCCTGCAAGAGAAAACAAGACTGCAAAACAACACCTGCAAGGCTGTTTAGCGTCCCTGAGAATTTTTTTAATTCCTTCTCATATTTTTCCCAGCCTACTTTCTCAGGCAGCCTGAGGAGCTATGCGGCCTGTAATTTGTACAGGCACTGTGGTTCAGATTTAGCATCCATAGGGTTAGTATAGTCAGTCAATGTCTTCAGGCACACTGAAATTTTTATGCAGTCCCTCTGCATTAATTTCCAAATTCCTAATATTTAGCAGCAGGGAAGCATCCAGGAAAATTTTGGTATCAAGATATCTGAAAGTTTAATTCAAATCTACTTTGCATTTTGGCTGAGAGTTGTTGAGCTGCAGGCATCTTGGTGCAAGTAACTAAGTTTTTTTTATTTTGAAATAAATATAATGTCATAACTACTTTAAATATGATTTGGAACATCATAGAAATCTGAGGACGTGGTAATTCCCATTTACCCATTTTTTGAAATTCTGAGGTACTCAAGCAGGCATAATCTTTTGTTATTTCATCATGTCTGTTGACTTTCTTTCTTACTGTGGTTACCATTAGTGCTCAGAAATTAATTACCATAGATCTGTGGAAGATCATAAATCTCTTCATAACATTAGGATTGAAACAGCTGTAGTCAAGAGAACTTTCCTGAAAGCCAGAAGTGTTTATACTTTGAAGAAATATCAACAAAGTATTATTGTTTTTAAATATGATTTCTAAATCCAGAAATTAATAATTTACTCACCAAACTAAAAAAAGTAGATTTTTCCAAAGCAAGATTATTTATGGAGAACAGTAGCATCTAAAATAAAAAAAATCATCTATTTGCCATAACTCAGAGAGAATTTCCCAAAGAAAAACAAGGTATATAACAAGTTTGTGTTTAAATGTTTTTTTGTCTCACGATGAAATGTGTCAGAATGATAAAACAGTTGCAGTTCAATCTGGAAATCAGTTGTATATGATAAACCAAGGTTCACCTGAGCTTGGTTTTTTTTAACTTACGTTTGGGTTTGGGTTTTTTAACTTAAAACTACAAAGTTTCATTGAAGCCTGAATTGGAGAAAAGTTATTTTCTTTTACTACTCTCAAATAAGAGGATTGTTTTCAAGCTGAATGTATTTCTAAAGAGCCAGAGAACAGAAAAACTGCCATCTTATTAACTACAATGAAAAACAACTGGAACACTTAAAGAGAACTTTTGTATGCCAGGCAACTCTTGTGACTATAAAGGCTCATTTTTATATATATGTTTTAAAAAATGTAAAAGGAAGATCAAAGTTTGCAAAAGAAATTTTAGACATGTTTTCAAATGGCCCAGAAAGGTAAAAATAGTTCAGCTGTTTAGACTAACCATGATTATTGATATTATGAGATTTATCCAGTAGAAAATACTGGGAATGAAGAGACTTCCAGCAGGAAGACAGAACCTGCTTCAGGATTAGTTTGAGATACATAAGGCAACTGCAATTATTATGATTAGTGAGCATCATAGCATCATTTCAATACAAAAAGGTTTTCCTCTTAGTTTTATAAGGAGGCTGTAAAGATTTCACTCATATGATAACCAGGAATCTTCTGAACTCCATCTAATACTGTTAAATTTCTAATATTGCTGTATGTCATGAGGGTATTCAGTCATGGTGTCTTTTGCCCCTTAATTTGCTAAGGAAGATGAATGAAGCTCGTTAAATCTTGTCTCATGAGATGATATCTTAATTCTCCATACACTCCTTTTGGCTTTTTCCTCCATTCATTTCAGTTTGTTCCTTCTGAACAAGCCTGAGCACAAGTACAGATAGTATTTTGGATGGAATTTCTTGAGTGGCTTGCACAACAGCACGGAGTTGCCCTTGTTTCCTCCTGAAGATGTTTTGCTGTGTGTATTCCAGGATCATAACTTTTCCTTGTAGTCTTGCTATACCAAAGACAATTCTCTTGTCATCAGCTTTTCTAGTAGTTCCTCCTAATGAGTTTCCAGTTTACAGAAGGATTTATTAAACACCATATAAATGGCTTTGTATCTCAAATTGTGAACTTTCTCAATTTCTATTAATCCTCCATGTCATGCAGACACAATTTAAGACATTACTAAGAATACTTCTTAATATTATCTTATTAGCAGGTGTCTAGATTGGGTAGAACAGCAATTAAGAGAAGTCCTTAATATTATTAGAAAATTTAACCCTTGATTCTGTGCAAATCATTCTGTTAATCACCTTGTTATACTCCATCCTTCCTATGCTCTTTCATTAGCCTACATTTTATAATTCTACCAGTAGTTTTCTTCACATAAAAAAAACACCACACATTTTTCCTAAGTTCTATGACAAAAAAACCCACAGACTAACAGTAGACAGAGGCATAAAAAGGCATGCTGAGAGACACTTTAGGAAACATAATGTTTCCTTCAAAATGTTTCAGGAAATGCCTAGAATATGTTCCTGTTATCTATACAAACTAGGTTTTTTTCTTTCTTTCCTAAAGAATAATTTATCTCATTTTTGACAGTAATTCAAGTCCTTAAAATTATTGAAAATTATTTGACCTGTGAATATTTCTAGAAGGTCTAACCTAATGTTCCAGGCTCACAGGCTTACCTTTGCTTCTGAGAATTGAACTGTCTCTAAATGAAAACTTCATCAGACATATTAACAGTTATTACGTGGCTTTGTGCAACTTTTTCCAACCCAGCTATTAATAGTGAAGGACACTCCTTTTATGTTTGTTTTCTAGTAAAATGTCAGAATTTTGTGAAGAATGTATATAGGTTTTCTTAGACAAAGCTACTTGGAAAGGAAAGAAAGCTTCTTTCAGGGAAATAATGCTAATAGAAAATGTTCAACATCTTCTATTGCCTGATTCTTTTTGAATGTCCCCAGTCCCAACTGGTCAAGAAGTGACTATCATAAAATGTATTAACACCAGCCTGTCACCAGATTGCCTTTCTCTAAATCCACACAACTTTCCTGTCAGTCTGTATTACAACTTTTGCAGAGGGCTCCCATGTAATTACAGCAAAGGTGCATAAAATGAAGATGCCTTTCCTTTGGTTAAGCACAAGTTCAGTTCTCTTTGGAGCAATGTCTCTGGTGTGGGGTCTGCAAATCATGGAATATGCTGCAAAATTGGAGAGAATTCAAAGAAAAACTGGGAGACTGACTAGAACTGAAAAAGAAGTATAGCGCTGGCTTGCAACAGATTGTGTTTAGTTTATTGAAGAGGAGGTTAAAGGGCTGCCCAGCTGCAACCTCAGAGTGGATACCATGCAGGATTTTCCAGCAGGAAAAATATTATAGAGGTAATTTTGAAACAGCAAGCAAAACTATTGGAAGACTCAGTGATGGGAAGCTGACATCATGCAAAAGCTAGACTACAAGCAAGATTCCAGTCCTGATTATGAACATGTGAGAAAGAAATGCAGTACCTTCTTTATGATTTCAAAACAAGATTTTATCTTTAAGATATATATTTTATATATATATATATGTCTATTTAAATATAACTATTGTATTTGAAACAAGAGATAGTTTTTGAAAATACTGATTTATGCAGTGGAACTGATGAGATGGCTACACTTGTCCCATCTTAAGATACCTGATTTACTGAATGCATTTTCTCTAACGTAACACTGTACAGTCATAATGCAAAATTTTAGTCTGATTTTACTTTTTTCTTCTGTCTTCTGTTATGTTTCGTTTGCCTTGCTGGCTTTGCGGGTTTTTTGTTTCTTTTTTGTTGCATTCATTTATTTATTTGTTTTGTGTGCATTTGTGTTTTTTTTATTTGGTTGGTTGGCTGTTTCGCTTTGTGTTGTTTTCGTTTGGTTTGGTTTGTTTCTTTCTTTTGCTCCAGGAATTGGCCAAGGGGTTCCAGTGGTGGCCCTTATTGTGGAAGGAGGTCCCAATGTCATCTCCATTGTTCTGGAGTACCTGCGAGACACTCCTCCTGTTCCCGTTGTGATCTGCGATGGCAGTGGCCGAGCATCTGACATCCTTGCCTTTGGTCACAAATATTCTGAAGAAGGAGGGTAAGTCATTTCCTAGAGTATGTTCTTTCTCTATCCACGCGTTCAGGTCAGTGGTAAAGCAGAACACAGGAAATTATTAAAATGCTGTACAAAAGCAGCACCTACAGTTTCCATTGTTGATATGTGTGAAATATTGAAGGCATTCAGAACAAAATAAAACAAGCCTTAAAACCAGCCTCATCTCTGAGCCTTCTCTACTTGCAGTTGGAGAGTCCCAGCTCCCTCAGCCTTTCCTCATATATGGCGTGATCCACTCCTTTCATCATCCTAGTGGCCCTTAGCTGGACACTCCACCATGTGTATCCCTCTCTTGTGCTGGGGAAGGCAGATTCAGGCACATGACTCCAGATGTGTGGAGTCATTTTCCTCAAAAATGGGAAGGAGAGGAAGCATCACCTGCTGAGCCGACATGCAGTTCCCTCTCCCAGAACGTCAGTGAGGATGTTGAGCAGCATTGAACCCAGGACTGGTGTCTGAAATATGCCACAAATTAGTGACCTTCAACTGATCACAAACATCTGGTCCCAGCCTTATACTCAGTTTCAATTCACCTCATTGTCTCCTCCTCCATCCCATACTTCATCAGCTCATCTATGAAGGTCTTACGGAAGACAGCGTCAAAGGTCTTCCATGGGGAACATCCTCTCCTTGCCCTTCATGTACCAATCCTGTCATTTCTTCAAAGAAGATGATCAGGTTGTCAAGTGTGGCTACCCCTGATCATCTTCATCTCTTTCCATGTCACTGGAACAAATGGTCCATCACAGCCTCACAGATCAAAGGGAAGCTGACAAGCCTGTAGTTCCCCGGATCTTCCTTCTTGCTTTGCTGTAAGGCAGGAGTGATCATTGCTTTTCTCCAGAGCACAGACAATTCTCCCAGTTGTCCTGATTGTTCACAGTATATGATTTTGCCATGACATCAGTCAGCACCCCCAGCATTTTTGACTACACACTGTTAGGATCCATGAACTGGTGACATTATATCTTCCAATTCCTTCCCCCAGACTTTCCTCCCAGTGTCTAGGACCTGAGACTGAAGAAGACAGTACTTCAGCTTTTTCCATTTCCTATGTCACCAGGTCCCCTGCCCCACACATTGAGCTTGGATCTCCTGAATACTAATATTAACCAGCTTTCTGGGCCACTCCTTCCTATAGTCTCACTGTGATAAAGAGAGTCCCTCTTTCCTGGTATGAGGTCCAGCACAGCATCTCTCCTCATTGTCTGCTCTGCCACTTGAGCTGGAAGTTCTTGTCAATGCCCTTCAGGAACTTCCAGGAATTCTTATGCCCTACTGTCTTATCCCTCCAGTAGGTATCACAGTGGTTAAAATTCTCTATATGGATAAGAGCCTGTGCACATATGTCTGACTCATCCACTCATGTTTTTGTGGAATTTTCCACAAAATTGCCTTGATCTGGGAAAGCCTAACAGTAGTACCTATCTTGTTGGGCTATTTTCAACAACACTGTTGTTTTCACTGCATACATAATCCTGTGCTTGATGGTGCAGCTCCTCCAAGACCACAGATCGACAGGAAAAAAGGCCTTGCTTGTCTCCTGGCATCAAGAATGGGCACTGAAGCCTGGGACTTCAAGTGCTGCATCCACCATTGAAAGCTCCATCCACATCAAAGCTTCTGCAATGACAGAGCAACTTCAGGGGCAACTACTCCAGCCCTGGAGAAAATTACTCTGTAGTGTGTCATCACCACACCCAAAACTCTTTCTGACGGAACAAATTAATCTGAGGACCCCTTTTTTTTTGCATTCTCTTGCAGAAGCTGCTGCACAAGCTTGACTGTACTCTTGGTCTGGTGCTTGGACAGGCCTTTCCCAGGCACCAGTTAACAAGGGTTTGGCCCTGCCTCATGAGAGATCAGTTGCAAACAAGGCTACAGGCATCCTAGATCAAGAGTAGCAGCATGTCTATTAAAAAATGCTGAAGCTTTCTTAGTCCACAGCCTTGTGGCTGCCCTAACCCGTTTCTTACCTGACAGTCACCAGAGTGTTCCCATGTGTTTGGCAATGATCATGGACTTTGTCCTCTCAGAAGTTCCCAAAACAGAATTCAGTCTGATGCCCAGAGAAGAAAATAACAAATAAAAAGATTTAACAATTTTAGAGCAAAACATAGAAGTGGAAGAAAATCACACAGATTCTTATAACTAAGAGCTTTATCATGTTTTTTTGTCAAAGTAGCCACAGTAACCCTACAGTTGGGATTCCCAGGGACTCATTTTTGCATGTGTTATTTTATGTAGGGCTATATGTATTCACACATACAGTAAGCAAATAATAAAATATGAATCTGTAAACATAGAGCTCTAAACCAAGCAATATATGTTTTAGAAATACATATCATGAATTAACTTGATCTTAAACTCCTTCTGGGTAAAAGGACAGTTTTCCACAAATACTTAAATCCATTTTACATTCAGGTTCATGCCTAGTCTAGCACTGCATCTGTGATACATATGATGTGCCAGGTTTCATTGAATCTTTGAGAAGTTGTTTCTCTGTTTTCAGTGACCTCACTGATAACACTCCACATAACCTTACTCAAATATGCTTTATCCATTTATTTGCTATGTGCATCTACCTTGTCTGTGTTCTTATATTATAAAAAAAACAAAAAACGAGGAAAATTAATTAATTTATTTCTATATAAATAGACTTATATGGAAGACTTTTTACAAGGACCTCTAGTGACAGAACAAGGGACAATGATTTTAAACTGAAAGAGGGCAGCTTTAGACTGAATACAAGTAAGATATTCTTTACTATGAGTGTGTTGAGGCACTGGCACAGGCTGCCCAGAGAAGCTATGGATGCCCCATCCCTGGAATTGCTCCTGATCATGTTGGATGGAGTTCTGAGTAACTTGTTTCAGTGAAATGTGTCCCCTGGCAGAGATTTTGAAATTGAATGATCTTTAAAGGTGCTTTTCAACCCAGACCATTTGATGATTCTGTAATTTTATGATGCTCTGGTTCTATTTCATCATCACAATCTCCTGCCTGTAGAAAAGGCAAGTTATAGTATCAATAGAGGAAGGACAAGCAATTTCTTAACTGACACTCTCATATCTGGCTCTGTGAAAGGTATTGTTCTGTCTTACTATGGGTGTTCTTATTGTGGGGGTCCCATTCCAGACTATTTCCAGCAACATTATCAACCCCCAAAGTTACTAATTTTTTCTGTTCACTTGGAGCTAAATAAAATGAACAAACTATGAAATTTGCTAAACTAGCAAGTGGAAATTTCTGTGTATTCATCCTAGTTCAGAAAACATGAGTCTGGCATGCAGTGATATTTTTAATAATGCCTGAAGTAAAACAATATCATTCATAAAAAATATTTTATCCAAATACATTAGACTTCAACTACAAATTGGATCCTTTTTTCCCCTCTCTAACCTATGTTTGAATAATACTTAGCACTGTGAAGAGAATACCAAATAATTGTCATGTTAACTGAATTCAGAGAGTAGCTTTTTCTTTTGGATCAAATCTAAGGTTATACAAAATTGTGTTTATTAAAATCTAAATCAAGGTAATACATCTAAATTGCATGTAAAGTTTAATTCTGCAGTCCACTGTGCAATCAAACTATCAAGTCAAAAACCTATTTTAATTCTGGCTGTTTGTCAGAAGTTAGGTGTTCTCTGAGACACAGCATATCTTCCAGCTGCAGTGGACTGATTTAAATAATTCAACATTTACATCATTACGACATTAATGGCAGAAACAAACTGACTTGCATGTTTATATTATTATACTGGTTTTGCACAATCTTAAATTCTAATTCACAACAGCCCAACAAGGATTAATTTTCTACACATAGGAATGTGTGCATATGTCTACTAAGCACTGCTGTGAGTTCTGTGAGCTTTTAAGCTAATTTGAAAGTTAGTTTCCATGGGAAGAATAACTATGTCTGGAGATGAAGCAGAACAAATACATCTCTCTCCTTTTGATCAGTGTTCTGCCAATCCATCCATTTAAAGAAATCCTTTAGTGTGTTGTACAATTACCTAGCTGCCCAATAGGCCCTTTTGTATTGGATTTCAAAGAATTGTATAGTGCCAGCCTTCCCTCCTTGTTAATTCTTCCTAGAACATTCCACATTGCAGAAAAATGAATGATTTCTTGCATTAATGAAGGTGCGGTACCCCTTTACAGTGCCAATGCCTGTGCATCTTTGAAAAGACAGGAGACAAGCTTCAATCTGCCTTTTCAAGGCATAATTGTAAGCATTCCTCATGCCAAGGCAGATATTTCACTCCTGTAGGACAGTCTTTGAGTAGACATTTTCAGTGTGAGTGCAGCCTGAGTGGAGGAGGCTGCCAGCACAACCCGGAGCTGTGCGCGCACCGCCTGGCCGGAGGTGCTGCCTGCTGCTCTGCGAGGCACCACAAGCACAGCAGAGGGAATGGTGAAACACACCTTCAAGGAAAGATGTCTTTGGGGGAAAATGGGTTTTGAAGTCTCCTTGTCCCATCTCTCTCACTGGAGTTTCAGGGGGAGGTAAGGCACACGTGCAGTTGTCCACTGAGCTGAGGTTTCAGCATTTCGAGTGTCAGATATGCAGAACTAACACAGGGGAGGGTTTAAGTTTATCAGGACTTTAATATCAGAGACTAAATTTTGCCTTGGTCTGGAAAAGCCTGGAACAGAGTTTTTAAGAGTGCAATAGGTGGCCATATTTCAGTACAAGTAAATAAAATTCTCAGAAGTAATTTAGTAGAGCTGAGTACATTCCTGGTGCCTTTTTACATTTTAATAACAAACAAGCTTTGTCCACATTGTAACTTAAATAGGAAGGCATCTTAAATGCAACATTCCCCATGTGGTAAATTGGAAGAATTATTTGGCTGCTTTTCACTATTGGCTTTGATTTAAAGGTCAGGTTTTCCAGGCTCTGAAGCACTGATTTTTGCTTTTACTTGAAAATATGATGAACAACATTTAGGAGTGAGAACATAATTCATAAATAT